AATGAAACAGAGAGAAGAGAAAATGACAGGAAAAATAAGTGAACAGACCCTCACTGATCTATGGTACAATATCCAGTATTTTAACATATGTGTAATTGGAGTTTCCTAAGTAGAAGAGACAAGGAAAATACAGAAAGATATTTGCAGAAATGGCTCCAAATTTCCAAATTTGATAAAAACTAGAAATCTGCAATCCAAGAAGCCTAAGAAACTCCAAGGAGGACACACACACACACACACACACACACACACACACACCCCAAAGCTTATCATAATCAAATTGTGGAAAACCAGTGATGATAAAAAAAAAAAATCTTAAAAGCAGCTAGAGAGAAAAGATACATTATGTTCAGAAGAGCAAAGAATAATGAAAAAGTTATTCTCATCAGAAACTGTGGAAGCCAGAAGACAATGGGATGGCAAGGCCTTCCCTGGTCATCCTTCTAAACCACCAACCCTCCCCTCCATCCACCATATCACACTCTTTGTGGCCTTAATTATTAACTTACTGTGATCTCTCTCTTCACTAGAATGTAAGCTCCAAGAGGGCAGGATATTAAAACATTGTTTATCTTGTTCACTGCTTTATCCCCAGTGCCTAGAACAGTACCTAGTTATTTAGTAGGTGCTCAATAAATATTTCATCAGTAAAGTTGCCTTCTGGGCAGAAGAGTATAAAGGCGGAGAGCAGTAAAGCATCCTCGAACTACTAATAGTTTAGCACAATTACAGCCCAAGATGTGCAGGGGGAGGAAATAAAGCTGGAGTGTGAGATCGATGTCAAGTCAAAGAGTAATTTGTAGGACATGTCATGGAACTGGGGCTTCATTCTGTAGGCAGGGATGTTAGGCAGAGGAATGCTAATACTCTACATTTTAGAAAAATTACTCTCGCAGCCCCTTGTGCCAGATGAACTAGAGGGGTAAGTTGGAGAGCAGGAAACAAATAGGAAGGCTATTAAATTAGTCCAGGTGAAAGCTGGTGCAGACTCGATAGAGGCCAGGAGCAGTGAGGATGGGCCAGTTCTGGAAAGCTCTTTAGGAGATAGGATGTACAAGAGATACATTGAGCAGGAGTCGGTGAGCAGCTAGATATGAAAGATGAAGGAGAGAGTTTTGACTTATGTAACTGGGTGGATAAGGAATACAGGAGACAAAGTCCATTTTAGAGAAAGATGGTGTATTAATGATCTACTGCTCTGTAACAAATTTCCCCAAAACTTAGCAGCTTAAACTTACAAACATTTATTATCTCTCAGTTTGTGTGGATCAGGAATCTAGGCTTAGGGGACTCCCTCTTGTTCAGTCTCTCACAAGGCTGCAATCAACATGATGGCCAGGACTATAGTCACCTCAAGGCCCCACTGGGGAAGGAGTCTGAGGGTAGGCCTCAGCCTCCCCTGGCTGTTGGCTGGAGACATCAGTTCCTTGTCACCTGGACCTCCAGAGGGCAGTCCACAACATAGCAGCAGGTATTACCAGGAGGTGGGGATCTGTTTTTAGGAGCAAGTCACTAGGTGACTGGCTTCCCTCAGAGTGTGTGAGCAAGAGAGCAGGAGAAGGTATTCCAGGATGGAAGCCACAGTCTTTTTATAATGTAATATTGGAAGTGACATCCCATCATTTCTGCCCTCTGCTGTTTTTAGGAACAAGTCACTAGGTGCGGCTCACACGCGAGGGGAGGGGATTACACAAGCGCATGATTACCAGGAGGCGGGGATCATTGAGACCATTTTAGAGTTTAGTGAGTTTGGATTGTGATAGTGTGTTTGGATATGCTAAATTTGAGGACCCAACCTCCCAGTTGGGATTACTATGGATGCAGATGGATGTGTAGTTCTAGGGCTCAAGAGAGAATCTCCTCTCATTGGAAGGTAGCTTGGAGCCTTGGCATGAGTTCACAAGTAATGGCCCAGGGCCCTTTTCTTCCCAACTTGTTTTGGAAGCTTCTAGAAGGGCCGAAGGACAGATAACTTGGAATCCCCAGAGTACCTCTGGAGTAGGAGGTGTGCAACACATAATTGCTGACTCAAGTACTTGTATGGGGGCAGAGTATCATGTGATTGAAAATCTCTCCCCCTCCCATCTCTCCCGCCTTTTGACAATTCCTGCTGTGCCATCAAACTGGGGAGAGGTTTTCCCCTCTCTAAGCTGCAGGTTTGTGATCTGCATAAAGGGACAGTTAGACTAGATTAATAGTTTTTCAAAAAAATATAAAGCTTTTTTTTCTCTGGGGAACCCAGTATATGAAATAGGTAAAAGTTAATTTGATCTGGTCTCCCCAGTGCTTCCCCAGAAAAGAACCCCATTTTGAAAAACACTGGACCAAATAAATTCCTGACTTTTTGCCAGCTCTAACCTGCCAGAGTTTCATGACAAGATCAACTCTAAGCTCCTCTCAGGCCTGCTATTCTGTTTGTTGAGATCCCTTGGTGCTACATATTTCATTGAACTTTTGAAAAGAAAACAAATTGTATTGCCTTGAACTTGTGAAAAAGTATAAGAAAGCTGGCCTTCATCAAATGCTTACTGTGTTTCAGGCACTGTGCAAAATATTTTACATCGCATTATCTTTATTTGTCCTGTCCCCCGCTACTAGACTGTAAGCTCCAAGAGGACAGGGAGCTTGTCTAGTCCACTGCTGTATTTCTAGAAGCTAGAATAATTCCTGGGATATAGGAAAGCATTCAATAAATATTTTTTGAATGAATGAACTAAGGTAAGTACTAGTCTTATTCCCATTTTACAGATGAGGAAACTGGGGCTTAGAGCTGCTGAGTAACTTGCCTATAGTTACACAAGTTAAAGGCAGAACTAGGATTTGAAATGAGCTCCTCTGGACTCTAATGCCATGTCATGCCATTTCTCAGTGGTAGGATCAGTAGGAACCTGCAAAAGGAGCTAGCCTATATTGGGTACCTCCTATATGATGAGCATAACCCTAGGTACTCTTTGCTTCCATTAGCAGCTAACCCTGCAACTCAGCTATTGTGACTCCCATCTTTCAGATGAGGTATATGAAGCTCAGCGAGGCTAAGCACCACACCTAAAGTGAGAGATGGAAGTAGGATTGGAGCCAAGTCTTTCTGACTCCAAACCATGTCTGTACAAGATCCTACATATTCAGCTACATGCACAAAAGTTTAGGTTCTGGAAAATACCACACCATTGGTGGGTGCAGGTTAATGCGGCTGGTGAGGTTTTGCCTTCTCCAGCTTTCCTGTAGCTTTATCTTCCTGAAACCACTGTGCATTGAACTGAAAGCATCCACCAGGCTGAGAAAGAGCGAGTCCAAGCTTCTGATTGGAGCAAAAAGCAGCTGATGACTAAGGATGACAAACGTGGGCCCCATAGCCTGCTCCTCTCTGTAGCCTCCTCAACACCACTTGCCTCAGCCCAGGTCTGAAGTTAGACTGATGACGTCACCAGAGTCTCTTAGAGGGCTCATCACTCACAGCCACTTGTCATATATTATTCAGCGCATCTATAATGCATGTAACATTTTCTACCAAATTTCCATTCCTTTCTTTTCGTGACCAGGGAAAGAAAAATAGAGTCAGGATGACTTTTTCCAACTCCTCATCCTTAGTGCCCTTCACTGAAGAATAACCTCATTTTGAGTTACCCCCGAAAATGGTCATTCAGGCTCTGGTTTCATTAATAAGGATGAAGCTACAGTTTCATAATTATCATCTAACAAATGCACATTCTATATAGACAAGTAAATGGATTTCCCCCCATCTTTTCTTCTGGAGTCCACACAGGTGGGGACATAGCTGTCACTTTTTCTTTCTCTCTCCGTCATTCTTCATCTTATTTTTTTGAAACTTTGGGACTGTATCAATTCTGTTAGAAGCTTTCTACCTTCTCACCTCCTATAGAGTTAATGAGAGTCCCCCCAAGAACCTGACGTCCTCATGGTTTGAGTGTGAATCTAATTAGAAGCTGGGATCTCAAGGGTCAGGAGGGGTCACGTAGGGGAAGGCTTGTTTCAGGCAGAGGGAATGAGATGCCAGGGTGGCTCACCCCATCCTAGGGCTTGTGAGGAACTCAAAGAGCCCAGAAGACAAAGCCTCCCCTGAAGCAGCACTCTGGACCGAAGGGCAGGCGTCAAGGACAAATGGTGTTGGAGTTAGCCTGGGGTGTGAGCCAATGCAGTGACACAGCGCTCCACACCCAGAAGGGCTTGGTGCCTGGTTTAATGCTCTGTTGTCACCATAGTGAAATTGTCAATACTTTTTGAACAAGGGGACCCACGTTTTTGTCTTGCGCTGGATCCCACAAATGGTTTGGGGAAATCCACTGGCCTTTCTGAGACTCAGTTTCTCCTTTTGTAAAGTGGAGAGCAGATCCCTCCTTCAAATACACTGTCATGAGGATTAAATGAGATTATGAATTATCGGTGCATTGTATAGTAAATGGTGCCTAATAAATATTCCCTTCTCCTTAGCTAAGAAGGTCTATCAGAATCACCGGGAGGGTTGGGGGGACTTGGTTTTCAAAATTCACTTGCCTGTGTTCCACTCTGACAGATTCTGACTCCCAGGGTGTGGGTTGGGGGAGGTGTAGTGGTTAGGGCCCCTTCCGTGATACCGAAGTACACCTGAGCTTAAGAAAAGTATCCTTGGGTTTTCAGAGATCTAGCTAAGAAGCAGCTTAATAGAGGAGAGCGGATGGAGAGGGAGAAATTGATGGACCACAGCTGATCCTTAACATAATAAAAAACCTGTTAAGGAAGAAAGAGGTCACTGATAATGCTGAAGTGCGCTATGAGAACTTGTCCCATTATCAAGGTTCCTATAAAATATTCCGCTGTCCATTTGGCCTGAGAAGTACACCCCGAGGAAGAGGCGCCATGGACAGGAGAAGCCAGGGTCACGGCCCAGGGTGGGGGTCAGGTTTGGATTTATCGTCACCTTAATGACCCTAATACCATACACGATTCCTGAAAAGAAATTGTAGCTAGAGGGAGTAATCCTGAATTATGTTTATCCCGCCCAGATTTTAGGCTTTGACATTCTTCTAATGAAAAACCTGAAGCCTATCCTACTTGAAGTAAATGCGAATCCCAGCATGAGAATTGAACATGAGCAAGAAGTAAGTACTTTGAATATCTCCTTGAATATATTGCCCAACCACTGCATGTGGTCACTCTCATGTTGCTCACTTGACTAAACAAGATTCAATATTCTCAAATTGGCACAGCAAACTTCTGCCCAAGTCTAAATAATTTCAGTTTGGTTGAGCTCTGAGCAGAGTCCATAAATATAAGACCTATCCGACCCATGGTAACTTCCCAGCATGCCGTTCTTCCAATTTTTAAGGTCTGCAGATATAGGAACAGCTGAGCCTTTCCATCAGTTTTGACATGAACTAATTAGTTAGCCTCAGGAGATGAGCTAATTGAAATTCTATGAATATGATTTATCCATGTCGACATATTTGAATCACTAAGATAAATAGTACATTTAACAGTGCTTATATTTTTTTCCTCCCCCCTTAAAACACACACACACACACACACACACACACACACACACAAAAGACTGGAAGGAAATACACCAAATACTAATATTGGGTTTTTGGGGGACTATGTAGATTCTTTTAATTTTCTTAGCCCCTTCTATATTTCCAAATTTTCTACAACAAGCATGTATGATTTTGATGATTAGATTAACATAGTGCTCTTTATGTATGTATTTCCTCTTTATGTCTTTTGTCGATTTGTTAAAGGAAATTGCCATTGTACAAATAGCATGAAGGGAGCTTTTTAAAAATTCTCTTCTATAGATTCATATAAGCAAAACCTAACCAATAGTACAGCCAATAGAGCTGGTGCTGATAGTCGCTTGGTACCAAGTCACTCCCTCCACTGAAACACGGAATCCTACCCGTTCAAGCTTTCTCCAGGGGTGTTTGAAAATGTCCCCAGCCTTGTTGATGAGGAAGTAAAGGTGGCTGTGATCAGAGACACGCTGCGCCTCATGGACCCACTCAAGAACAAAAGAGAGAACCAGTAAGTATTTTTTATATCATTCATTTCTATCAACTCTGCTCCCATGTCCTAGCCATTTGGTTCTTAGGACATCGTAACATTGTAAGATGTACATATTAAACCAGCTAATCCATCATATTTTCATTTATGGATATCAGCCTCTGAATATGGTGACTTAAAATCGGGAGATCGATATGTATATGAATCTGACGTTTGGGATTCAGCTGATGAATTTTTAGCTGATTGTTACTTGAATCTAGGGAGTCGCTTCCACAAACCCACTCCCCCTGCCACCCCCTGAGATGGGATTCCCTCTCACCCACCACCGGTGACGTAGCACTTGTCTTGGAAATGCTCAAGCCTAGGGAGAGAGTAAAACAAAGACAAGGAGAGGACCACAGGCCGCTTGGATGTGATAAAGATCATTTCCTTTTTAACTTCGTGATTCTTATACTCTTGCATTATAAGCCTTTTGTTTCAACGTTTGCAGAGCCAATTTAAGGAAATTCCGGAAGTTCTATCATCTTTACAGCAGTATAATTCTCTGTGCCCACCCACCCCAGGGCAGGTTACCCCCGTCGGGATGCTGGTGGGAGTGCGTGCCCGACCCCTCCCTCCGTGGAATCACCCCTGAAATGAGCTGCATCTCATTTGGGTATTGTGTTTGTTTTGTTTTTGTCAAATTCCTAGCTCTCACAAAGTATGGGTTGAGTAAATATCGTTATGCTTGTTTGAGGCAGAAAAATCAAAGATAGGCATTTCAAATAGCACTCTTTGTACCCCTGGCAAATCAGATTGGCCTAAACGCTTGCAGACAAATAAAGCCCTTGTCAGCACGCTTCAAGACTGCAAGGAACACTGGCTTCCCCTTCCTGAGCAAGGGGTGTTCTGCAGGTGCCTCCACCGCAGCACCTCACGAACTGGGCTCACGCCAGAGATACTGTTAGAATATTCTGCAGTGGTGCTTCTCCCCTGGCTTGCGCACTAGAACCAGCATAAACACCAGTGTGAGGGCCCCCACTTCTAGAGACAGTGATTTTAATTAGCCTGAACTGGAGGCCTGGCCACGTAAGTCTTCCAGGTTCCCTAGGGGATCCTACTGAGCTGCCGAGGTTGAGTGCCGCTGCCTGGCAGGAAATGTCACTCTGTAGGAGTGTTTGTTTTATTCTGAGTCCGGCTGGCTGGACAGTGGCTGCTCGGTTGAGCGCCTCTCCGGAGTGTTCTTCACTGAGTGAGGCACAGAGTGCGGCTGTTGGCAAGACTTGGCTGAGAACATTCACCTGCAGTCCGTCGGGCCAGTCCTGCCAGGCGTGGCTCCCACCGATTAGAGCTGCAAAGTGGTGTCCCATCAGGTCCCCCGCATCCTCGGTGTGGGTCACATGCCATGGCAACTGGGAGTGTGACCACTCGTCCGGGCACGCAACGGCTTTCTTCCGCCAGCCCTAAGGAGAGGCAGCAGATGGAGGGCAGTTTGGTCAGATTCATTGCAATAAAACTCATTCCTTGAAAATCTACTCTCCAAGGGTTATTGATCTCCCTGATAGAGATGAGGTCTCGAGAGACTGTACGGTCCTCTGGGGAGGTTTGGGGGGCTGTCCATGTCAGTGTGGCACACTAGTACAGCTCTTTAAAGATGACCTTGACACATGAGCGCTCCGATTGTGTTGGTGGGAACAAATTCGAAGGCCATTGTGTGGCCACCAAAAATAGGAAGAGATATAAGAGGATCACTGTATTTTCACATTAAATGGTACCGAAACACGATTAGCTTTCTTTTCCTTGGTTTAGGTGTTTTGCTTTACCTACACCTGGCATTCTGGATCATCTCGGTGAGCTGTAGACCTAAAACTGAATAGCGAGGGGGCACAGGACCACAGGAAGGATGGGAAAGACATTTACAACTTATCAATCATAAGTAGCAGAACCTGGTTTTAACTGAAGGAGCATTGGCTTTTTTTCTTTTAACTTGATAACCAGGAACAGTTAAAACTTCTAGAACCTGACCTCAATTCTCATATAAAACCCTTCTATCTCCCCCTTTTCTTACCATTAAGGGTGCATATTAGTAGCCAAATGTCATTTACTGATAATTTTCCTAAATTTCACCTTAAAAAACTCCCAACGATTGTCTATGAAAGTACTTTGTAATCTGTAAAGTGCATTTATATGTAAAGAATTATTATTACCATTTCGGTAACTTTATCATGCAGATAAAAAGGCTAAAATTATTCTCAACTCCTCTGTGTAGAAATGTTTCAGAATCACTTGAAAAAGCAATGTAGTTAGGCTCACAGAAAATGCCCAGTGTTGTAGTGCTGAATCATATGTATCCAAAGCTGAGACCATGTCATTCCAGCTGCAGAGCACAACATGACATAGACTTCTGGGTTGGGAGGTAGATTTAGAAACCAGAGTGTCTTGTGTTTAAATAGGATCTGACCTAAACCTTTAAAAACAAACGAAATCCTAGCCTTTCGCTACAACTCTTTAGCAAAAGAGGGTCTGAAGTATCCCTCATTAATTCCTTCTTGAGTACAGATTGTCAGCAGGACCGGTGAGGTGAGTCTTCACTCTCCTCATATAGATTGAAGAAAAATGGCAGATAGATGTCCTGACCGCTTCATGCCTCTGAACTTCCTCGGGAAGGTATGGAGGGGGATTGTGTCCATGTGTGAAGCATCTTCACACACCTCAGGGGCTTATGGGCTGGGTTCAGTTTCCTGGTGGGACTGAAAGCAGTCCCCATGCCTTCCACGGGAACAAGAAATTGTGACTGCTGGTACCCATCTTGGCAAGCTGGAGGCTCACTCGAAGATACCAGATTCAAATTCTGACCTCAGGGATGTTGTGGAGCTGTGTGAGCCTTGGTGTCCTTTTCTATGAAATGACATTTAAATGAAACAGGAAACCTATTGATAAATAGTAGCCACTTAAATGCTTAGTTCACTACTCAACAATAAAATTCTCTACTAGAGTATGAGAAAACAAAATTAAAGCTTAGCTATCATTATCTTTTCTGGTATACTTAAAGCAGAATTTTGAGTTGAAAACCAGTGACATATCCTAAAACTGAAGCTGCTAGGTCACTGTGGACTAGAATTGACATTGGAGCTGGTTGCCAATGGAACATTCTGTTTCCAAGTAGCAAGATGTCACTGGCCCAGGCATATTTCTTTATTGGATTAGGAGAAAATACCTTTGGCCCCTGAAGGAATAAAATAGCTGTCATATGAGAACTCTTTTGAACTATGATACATTTTATAATATCTAGTGACTCTGATTTACATAGTAGGGTTGTTTGGAGGCATTGAAGGGACATGGGAAAGGGGAGGCTAATGGTTTGGGACTCTGGAAACATCGTATATCTGTACACACACATATATGGTGATAAAATTCACATAATATAAAATTAGCTATTTAAATTCCATGGCATTTAGTATATTCACAGTGTTATGCAACCACCCTAGTTCCAAAATGTTTTGTCACCCCAGAAGGAAACCCTATACCCATGAAGCAGCCACTCCTCATTCCCACCTCCACCAACTTACTCTCTGCCTCTGGATCTACCTGTGTTAAATACTTCATATAAGTAGAATCATACAATACACAGTATTTTTGTCTGGCTTCTTTCACTTAGCGTGTTTTCGAAGTCCACCCATTTTGTAACATGTATTGGTGCTTTATTCCTTTTTATGACCAAATAATATTCCATTATGTGGATATACCATGTTTTATTATCCATCTGTCACTTGATGGACATTTGGGTGGAAGCAATGAACTGTTTTATATTTCGGCATTCTGTAGATTTCATTTGAGAACAAAGAATCTTTCCTGCTACATGAAATTTTTTTAAATTCCTGGTTTACTTCAACCCCCTCATTTTACTGAGATAGAAACCATCATGCCAGTCAGCTCCCTGGTTCAAGAATCTCCCTCCTAAGCGTCCTGCAGACGAGCAGCATATGTCCTGGTGAGGCACTGGGTGCGGCATCAGCCTGGTCTGGGGGGATGTTGTTAACCTCTGAGCACTGTACTATGAGCTTGGCCAAGGTGCCCTGTTCTCTGATCTGGTCTCTAACATGGGAATCAAGGTATCTCCTTGGCTGGATTGTCATGGTCATCATATGAAGTGACACCGAGGAGAGAGCCTCATGACATCTGAAGACATTAGACAAATGCCAGTTTTTAGGCCCACCAAGTGGTCAGTCAGGCTTTGAAGTTCTGTTAATGGTGACAGGTAAGTTACCAGCTTCTGAGGCAGTCTATCTGAGGAATGTACATGATGGTTCTGCACATGTGAATCATACAAGACAAAAACCTAGGCGAAGAAGTCACAAAGCTAGTTAGAGGCAGCATGGGGACCGGATTCTGGGTTCCTGACTTTGACACCAGTGTCCACTTCGCTTTGCCACGTTGCTCCATTGACCTCCAGCTTCGCCTTCCATTCAAAGCCAAGCTTGTAAGATAAAGAGAAAAAAAAAAATCAGGAAAATCAATGGAGAGTTTTCCTTTCCTCAAGGGATTTGGGCAGCCTAATCTTTTTTAAAACTCCTATCCAGAGCAGAAGTGAACAAATTGCATTCCCTGATTATTTAAAAAACAAAGTGATTGTTCCATCAACTGATTCATTTTTGGAAGGTCGGTTTACCCTGGGGAGCCATTTTACTGGTATTTTTCTCCTTTTCCGGAATGTAGGTATTTCTGGTAACCAGGTTCCTTTCTCAGGAAGCATAGCCCTTAGGACCCCAGAGAAGTGTAAGTGAAGCCAGAGACAGGCTTGGAGGAATCGGAGGGGACTTTTTCAATATCGTGCTATAGACAGCCTGGCCCGTCTCTTATTCAAAAGCGTGTATTTTGGAACATGGCTTAAAGAAGGCACAGAAGCACCTTTCCCCAGAGCAACATCTTACCGCCCTCTCCCCGTTTCGCTTACTTCCTATCACAGCAACAACCTGGTGGATTAAAAGGGGAGGAGTCAGGCTGGTCAGAGCAGCTTTTGCCCATATTCAGAGAGGTTCGTC